TTCAACGAAATTCAAATTATCCATTAATTGAAGAAGCTGAAAAAACGATATGGGAGAATATTCGAATATCATCTGACAATGTGCAACTTCCTTCAACGATAACAATTAATTCAACCGTTTTTGACAACAATATTGCAGAAGATGATGAACTAAACGATGATGAAACCGAATTGGAAATTATCGATCAATATAAAAAAACTCTTCATGAGGTATAGCTTATTTATTATTTTTATTGAATTAATTATATAGCATATAGCATAATAAATAAAAGTACTATCAATGTTACTCTAATATAGGCGCTTAGCCTTCTTGAAAAGTCTTATAACCTTCCACAGCAAAGAAAATGGTTGAAGAATATTGAATCAAATTTCAAGCCGATTCAAAAGATGGTAGACGATATAAAAAATCTGAACCAAGCCAAAAACCTTCCAAAAACCTGGAATAAACGAAACAAGAATACTTTTTATTGGTAGCAAATTCAAAATAAATATCTCGTGTTGTAATATGTTAGATAACAAGGTTCACCGAATAGTTTCTAATGAACACGGCTTTGTTCTTTTTATGCAATAAAAATTTTATAATTAAAATTTTATCGCTATAATATCTTACGCAATACGTATAAGTTTTATAATAAACATTTTTATAATAAAAATTTTAAATTTTATCGTTATAATATCTTACGCAATATAAGTTTTATAATAAAAATTTTTAAATTTTATCGTTATAATATAATATGATAAAAATGCGCTGGGTTACAAGATCTCAGATTTTAAACGGCGATTACGTAACTGATTTTGGTGGTCATGCTAGGGGGGTTTAACTGATTTTGGTGGTCATGCTAGGGGGGTTAGGGTAAACCTGTCATCGAGCTTTTAATTTTATCTTGTACCGGGCACAATCAATAATAAATAAAATAGATTGTGTCCGATACAAAATATAATTGAATGCCCGATGACAGGTTTCCCTTGACAGCACTCATATAAGTAGAAAAACGGAAAGTAAAAATTGAGACGTTATTATAATAAACTTGCCTAAACTACAAGATTAAAAAAAATATATAAAGAAACTAGTTTTTATTCAATATCTTTATCTCAACATGACTTTAAATAATTCACGAGTTTATCTATTTATTTCGCTTCAAGTCTTTGAAAAAAAACAGTTAACAACTACAGTATGAGTAATCATAAAAATCAACGGTGTATAATGAATCGCTCAAAATATAATCGTTGCCTGACTCTCTTACGAAATCCTTCAAGTATCTTACGAAATCTTTCAAGTACACATAAAAATCCAAAATTTAAATTTTGGGTTCTTCATACATTTGTAGTAGTAAAAGTTGGGATGATTGAGGAATAGAATTTTAAAATGGAAAATCGCAATCGTGGTACACAAATTTGCCCTATTAAAGATTTTTATGTTGTGATCTGTCAAGCTCATTAGGATACAGAGCACGGAGCTCAGGAAAAAATGTGGGTGTAAGTATATATTTTATTTAATAATCTAAGAAAAAAAATTTTTGCTAATAATATATAATTTATATAATATATAGATTTGGCAAAGATACTGCAGTACTGTTTTATGGCTCAAACGATTGCTGAAAATGCAGGGAAATAATGCAATATATATATTACACGACGTGCAAACAAACGGGTACCCGCGATAAGGCCTATAATTGCAGAAAGGTTTTGTCTAATTTTAAGTAAGAATTTATGTAGTTGTGTATATATAATTTGTTTAAGGCTTTTAATTATAAATATTTTCGTTATATATTTTAAAGGTGAATACGATAAGTATGATAGCGGCTCTCCAGACGGTGAATTTAATTATATTATTCGCGATCATTTTACAAGGTTCTCTACTGTGTTGCGACATTAATATAAACTTAGAATTACTGGCGGTTTATTGCCACCATAAATATAATTCAATTATTGTAGCTAGTGTTTGCTTAATTTCATTGTAAACTATTAAAAAAAAATGATTATCAATATGTAGTGCTGAAATAAATATTCAAATAAAATATATCGTGCGTCGTGCTGCTGATTTTTTACATTTTTTTTTCTTGTACTATATTTTTTCATTCGGTATTATTGATGACATACCGATCATTATTTAACATACGTCAATTATTGGGGTGTCTAATGCATATCTGATTACAAACATAGTGCAGGTCATATAGTGAAAATCATTAATCAATTTTTTTTATAATTAGCGGTGGCGTAGTGGTAGCGTAAGTAGTAAAAACATATAAAATTTAGATTGCAATAACTCTTGAACAAGCGAACACACACAAATGAAATTATATTTGTCGGGTTCATTTTAGTGTATTCTTTAAAGTAACCCTTTTTTTTTTGTTGTTGTTTGAAGCAATAGCGGAGACTTAATTTTTTAATTTTCATAAAAGATGGCCGTTTTTTATGTTTTTTTTTTTTTAATATAAAAATCAAAAACGTAACTTTAAAATTTTTTTGTTTACTTGTATTGTGCAATAGTGATCGACAAAATTACGTTTTTGATATTTTTATTAAAAAATCATGAAAATTTGGGTCCTCCGCTACGTTTCAAACAATAAAAATAAATTTAAAAATGCGTTGTAACTTTAAAAGGCACACTAAAATGAACCCGACAAATATAGTTTTATTTGTGTAAGTTCGCTTGTTCAAGAGTTATTGCAATCTAAATTTTATATATTTTTACTATTTACGATACCACTACGCCACCGCTGGGGTGTTTGGTCAACATACTAAATCAAACATATGTATAGTCCCCTATCAAATCGGTATAATTGAGATTTTTGTGTGATGTGATTGGCTAATTTAGGGGGCATATTCACATATTGATCTACATACTGCATAAATTGTATTATATATAAATAAGACACTAACTGCATCAAAAAAGTAACCTTCCTAATTTATTCTTCGTGTTCCTGATCATCATACATACATATCGATCGATTAAAAAAAAAATTTCTAACATTAATTTTGAAAAATTTTACTGAACGTATCTAATGCATATTGTGTACCAAAATTTTCTGCATTTGTTATTTTTTTCTTCTTTCTTATTACGTTGTTGAATTTCGACCATTCCATTTCTAACATCATCTTTTGAAAAATTTATACCAGAAAGACGTAATTTGGATTCTTTAAGATCCGGTAACATGTTTGGGTGAGTTTTTAAACAGGTTTGTTGAACATGGCTTCAACTTGTTGCTGATATAAAACTATATAATAAATTCTAGTAGTTACGAACTCATAAAGCAGTGGATAATCAAATAAATTAGGATTTAATTTGTCACAAAATTATTAAATTGTTTGCGAAAAGTTAAATCCGAATTAAAGAGTTCTCTCAATCCAAAATCTTCTGATATATTATTTTTAACATCACTTTTTAATTGTTCTATATATATTGTTTCTCGTTCAGATGGCTGAAGGACTATTGGAATATTTAAGATAACATAACAGTAACTTCTAGCAAAAAACTGGGCATAATTTCCTCCTAATCAACAAACTGATAAAGGTAATTTTGTTCATTGAAGCATCCATTTTTTAAAAAGTATAATCGCTTTTTTCATGCCTTTTTCTAATGAATCAAATATTTCACCAAATTCTAATTCACTTAGTGATTCGAGTGCCTCAAGTAACTCTTCAGAAAAAAATACATCAAAATTATTTGTAGCATCCGTTAAAAAACCTAGCCATTCTAAAACCTTATCTGGCATTTCATAGGCATGTCGACCAGGAGGTAAATTTATCCAGTTTTTGCCATTAAATATTCATGGCACAGGATCTTGATTAACAAGAAATGTCATTAATGGGATGAAAAAATATTTTCAAATGTCGTTAAACATTTGATTTGAATATTAAGTTTTTTGTCATTAAGTCAGGTATAGAAGAGATGCCAATTGTTTAAGTAAGACTGTGCTATATTAGAATGAGATTCCAACATTTCAATAAACTATTTCACAAACTCAAGATGTGATTCCTTTTTCTTTAGATATTGTTCAGCCTTACGCAATTCATACTCCCAATGAGTTTGCAGTGGCATTTGATATTGCGAATAGCAATGCCCAATGAGTGATTTATAGAGATCTTTAATATAATTGGATTTTATATTCATTGGTGCATTGCTATTCTGTTTTCCATAACCATTATGGAGGTACCAAGCGAGATATAGGAGATTGAAAGGATGAGGTTTTTTTGAAAAACCAGATACACATCTAAAGGCTTCATTTTCAAAATTAGTAAATACAATATTAATAATATGTAATGCATATCCTACTCTAGTTGAATTTGAGTTTGTTAATCTATTAAACTTAACGACAGCACCATTCATGTTTCCGGATATATATGCAGTATTATCGGTAAGCCATGTCATACATTTTTATACATCAAGTTGATATTTTTGGCAAGTTTCAATAACTGAATTTACGATAGTATCGAAATTGCATTTTTTTATAATTTTTAAATCAATCATACTTGATATTGGGTAATTTTGTTCTTTATCCCAATATGTAAAACAGATGATTAGATTCTTATTTTGACTGCAAGTTGATTCAATACCGAAAGCGCTTGTTTGTTGAACATGTTTGACTAAATTAGAAATGGCCAATTCTGATGTTTGTTTATGTCAGGTTGTGACTCATTACATTGAAAGCCAACTTTTTGGTGGTTCACCTGTCAAAAACTCATATATTAACTTTGTACATTCTATAGTAGCCCGCATTGAAACCTGTCCGACTTGTGACAACTTAGTCGTAAGCCAAATCATATCTGATGAATAGTGTTGATCATTTGATTTAAAAAGATCTTTAACTTGTTTTTTAAAATCTTCAGGAGAAATTGTTTTAGATCTATGGACTAGGGAACATATCTCAGAGATTTGACGAGATGTTTTTTGTTGAATATAACGATTTTAAGTCCTGAGTGATTGTATTTTGGTAATAAGAGTTTTATTTTTTTTAATTAATTTTTTGTTTTGACTTTGCAGATAATCACGCTCTTCTTTTAAAGCAAAATAGCTTGCTTGTGGCCGATAAAAGGAAGAAGAAATAACTTCGACTAATTGCTGTTGCAAATATTGGGATATAATTTTTCCTTCATTTTTGCCTCGTGGATATCTCATATTTTCTAGCAATTTTATTGCATCTTCTTTTTTGTCATCATTTAAGGCTTGAATAAAGTCAATAAGTTGTTCATTAGATATTATAAAAATTTCTAACATTCTTTCTTTTTTAATATTACATATAAATTCTAGGAAATTGTCAAAACTTCTTTATCAAGGCATTGGAGAGAATCCATGACTTTTTTAGATTTTTTGGTTTTTTCGCGATTAGCTGTTAATTGTATCATTTGGAGACGTTTTTTCAAAAATTTGGGCATTATGACTGAATATGACAAATTGTTTTACTTGAATCCTTTGATTTTTTTAATACATAGTTTTTTGGGGTGGATAAAATCTATTATTTAATATTTAAAATTTTTTTTTTTTTTATAATAAACTTTTTAAAGACAATTATGATCTTTATTATTATTATAATAAATTGCGTATACAATAAATCATACAAACATTATTACATATTTAAATTTTACAGTGAACTGATTTTTTAACTACAAAATAGACGTTTAGACAAAAATTGCACAAGCTAATTAAATACAAAAGTTGCACGAGTTAACAATTGAATGTGAAGATTATATAATTAGACAATTAGACATAAAGGTTGTGCAAATTAAGAATTAGATATAGGATTGCGCGAAGTAGACAAATGAACATATGATTGCAAATTGGACAATTGGATATAAAATTGCAGGAATTTGACAATCACGAGAATCAGACAATTGGAAATAAAATTGCAGGAATTTGACAATCACGAGAATCAGACAATTGGAAATAAAATTGCAGGAATTTGACAATCACGGGAATTAGACAATTGCAGGAATTGGGACAATTGGACATAAGATTGCGCGAATTGAACAATTAGACATAAGATTGGTGAATTGGACAATTAGATGTAAATTGAACAATTGGATATAAGACTAACGAATAGGATAATTAAGGGTCGTGTGAATTAGCAATAAAAAATATTGCGCGGTTTTGACAATTAGTAGCGATCGCGCTAATTAGACAATTGGACATAATATAACACTGATTGGACAATTGGACATAAAACTGAATTTGATGATCAAAAAATTGCGAAATGATATAGACTGTACAAAATCAGACGATTGTACATATAAAAATCACACGAAATATATAATAATTAACTATTTGATACTATTTAATTTGTAATTTTGAAGACTGAAAATAAAATAATTCGTAACGGCAATACATTCTAGAGAAATGTAATATTAATTAATCAAATGATAAGTACATCAGGCCAAAACATTCATTATCGCACTTCAGATAATAATAATATTGCACAGTAAGAATATTTACCATTAACAAAATACTACCTAAGAGTATAACCTAAAGAAATAAGCAAATTTTGATTAGAAAGCCTCAATGCTTGTAAATGCTATATTTTGATTCATATTATATATATGCAAATTCCACCTGCGATTTAGCTATCTAGTTTTTAATTTATTAATTGATTAGAAAAGATAAATGCATTAATCAATATGTTATAACTAGTACTTTGAACTCTCGTGTCAAAATTTTAATATTTAAGATATAACATAAGTTATTTACTAATTTATGATTTTTAAGTTATATAAATTGCTATAAAATACTAGAAAAAAAATTAAATCTTTAAGTATCCAAAAAAACCCCATGACATATTAAAAAATATTATTTTTTAACTTATCTTATGTTATTGTTAAGCTCGAAAAATTAATACTGAACAAACAGTTAGATTTTAAAGATTTATCGCTTTCGTATAGTAAATTCCTATTAAAAAATGATATTCGTTTGTGTAACAATACGATCATAGTAAAAACTGTACTAATTGATTTAATTAGGGGACTATACATATGTTTGTCACAATTAGTCGATCAAACACCCTAACGCCACCGCTAATTATAAAAAAAATTATTAATGATTTTCATTATACACCTGCACTATGTTTGTAATTAAATATGCATTAGACACCCCTAGTCAATTATGATTCCAAAGTGACTTATGCCAATTCGAGATTAACATGAATTTCAAATGATGTATAATAGTTATAACGTGAGTGCCGCATTATCTGATCTATTTACGTAGCAAAGTATGTGCTGGATATTATGTAGTAATATTTTAATATTTTAATATCTATTTTTAATATTAGTGCAAATCATTTAATCTGTTTATTATAAAAAGTCTAATTTATATCCTTCAGTTTTTATAGCTAAGATTTATTAGCTGACAAGAGTTGTCTTTCGATAAATTTTCACACAAAAATATTGAATGGAATTCGAACCAAATTTTTTTTAAGGCTGTTCAAAGTTGATTAGTTGTTTAATATCAATATTTTAAGCTCAGGCTCTGGGAGGGAAGGGAAAATTTAAACAAACACATATACGACACAGAATATTTGATCAAATCTTATTGGTCAACCTTAATTACACGATTATTGAAAGTTTTCCTGCATTGTGATTGGCTTGTTTAATTTTCGGGAAGAACAGCTAACCATGAGGGAGGATGATGTTAAACAACTAGGATTAAATGTAGTATAGCTTATCACTTTTAAAAAACATATTAAAATTAGTCATTTTATATAGTTATTTATTATATTTATATTATAAATAATATTTTAATTAATATTAAAAAACTAATTTAAAATTTTCTATTATAAAATAAAGTGATTTATTTAAATATTTTTAAAGATTTTATTAAAGGGTAAGCTATATTACATTTAATCTAAACAGACAACTATTCAACTTTGAATGGCCTAAACTTGATGATATCGTTATAACAATTTATAAAACAGTCATTACTAAAATAGCTTTTATTATACAGATCATGCCAAAATTACAAACATAATCAAATCAGATGAAAAAGCATTCTTGTGTAAGTTTCGGTAAAGTAGGTTTCATGTAATTTGTAAGAAATGTGATCACACTATCATATGATTTCGTGTGATTGGTTGGATTATATGTCATATTTTGATAAGTAAACTTTTTGCAAAGTCTAGTGTAGTTTGATAATGCTAGCTAAGTTTTTCATAATCTATTATATGTGAAATTTACATGAAATCCATGTTACTAAAACTTAAGTAAAATTACATGAAATGTAAGATTGTAAAATGTAATTTTCAGCCCTAGCTGTAATATGTTTTGATATCCGAGTGATTTTTTTTACGGCTACTTTTCATAATTCCTAGAACACCTGTAAAAATTAGCTGAATGATTTTTCAGCTGATCCGGTTAAGTTATTATTTTGGCATAATAGATTCAATAAAAATTATATACGTATGTACTTACGTCCAATTTTTATCGCACGGGTCTTATTTAGGGATGGCAATGGTTATAGTTATGACTGGTCATGACCGGTCATAACCATTAACCGATACCGGTCGGTCGGAAACCCTTGACCAACTGGTTACAATAATAAAAATTAATGTAATAAATATCCTTATATATTTTACTAAGTAAACTAGCTTTTGACTTCTAATAAACATCGTAGAAGATATTCTTAGAACTCTAACCCTGTGAAAATTTTTTTCTAAATATTTACGTATTTCTCCATATTTTTTGTGAAAACTCCATAAATCTGCAACATGATTGACAAAATCTAGACAGACCGAATAATCTCCATGATTTAAGGTTATAAATACCGTGAATATGCAACATTTATGGACAAAACACAGAATATAAAACACGGATAAACTTTTTTCATAGGGTTATAGTGATAAGATCATTAAATTTGGCCTAGTAGATCACGCAAAATTTGTATTATACATTTTATGACTATAAAATCTT